TATTTATTTATTCATATAGAGCTGGGGTACAGGCCAGAGATGCGGAGGGTAAGAGGATTCACCAGAGACAGAGTGGGGTGCAGAACAAGCAGATCGACGAAGTACACTGCTGAGGGGAGCAGCGGGCGGGTCAGGAGAGGTCTGCCTAGCCATGTGGATCTCCTCCGGAGCAGGCGGGAATTGAACTCATGCGGAAGTGGCTTAAGCTTCTTAGAGCTGTGCTTTAACCCGCTGCACCACCAGGGAGGGCCCTATTGTTATTTTTAATGAATAAGTACTTAAAATTGTAATTTCTAAATTGATAAATAATGATAGCTAGAGACATTATAGCTCAACAATTTTATTATGTCAATAATTTACTTTTATTGTATTTTTTTTAATTGAGGGACTACTGGTTTACAGCATTAAATATCTTTTGGAGGTACAGGTTCATACCTTGTCAGATACACATTACCACCCTGCATTTACCACCAAGGGGCTCCTAGTCCTCTATCATAGTCCACTGGACAACTTCCACACTTTATTCCACTCTCATCTTCTACCAGTTAGGTTTTTAGGGTTTGTTTTGCTTAGTTTTAATCTCCTTTCATGTTGTTTGTCTATAGTCCACATATGAGTGAAGTCAGCTGGTACTTGTCTTTCTCCTGACTTATTTTGCTTAGCTTTATCCCTCTAGTTCCATCCATGTCGTGGTAAAAAAAAAGGAGATACATTTTTAACATTTTGAGGGAATGTTATACTGTTTTCCAGAAGGCTAGACCAATCTTGTCCTACCAATAATATACAAAGGTTTCTTTATCTCCACATTCTCACTAGCAATAGGTTCTGGCCTTTTTTTATATGAGCCACTTCTTGCAGATGTATAGCAGTATTGGATATCTTTTTATGGCAGTTAAGTCTTTCATTGTGTATGTCTAGACACACACAACAACAACAACACACACACACACACACACAAACACCCCTTAATCTGATCATCTATGGTTGGGTACTTACGGTTGCTTTTTATCTTGGCCATAACAAATAGTGCTGCAATGAACATAAGAGTGCAAGTATTCCTTTGAATTAGTGCCTTTGCGTTCTTTAGGCAGAAAGCCAAGAATGAAATTATGGATATTATGGTAAATTTATAGAAGAAAACATTCCATGACATTGGCTTCAGTAATATCTTTGGAGCTTCAACTCCAACAGC